TATTGCAACAAACAAATTAAAAACAATGGTCAAAGGTTATTTGTGCCCCCGTCCCAGAAGTGCAGCCCAATCTCTTACGCTCAGGAAGTAAAAATACACATTTACACCTCAGTTGGCTATTACATTACATATTTATCAACGTACAGATTAAAGAATTTGTAAACGGTTTCAACCTTTACTTATACACGTTAATAGTCTAACATAAAGACGGGATAAAATGCCGACAGTTTACTCAAATAAACGCAAACGGAAACGAATTTGTGTTGATATATACCTGTAGAAATATTTATTTACGATTTCGTAAAACATTGAGAATGGTCTCGAGTTACTCCGATTGTCTGCGCTTTTCCAGAATTATTAATATCAGATACAATTATCCACCAAAAATGAAACTAAACCAAATCTGCAGTGCGGCACGGGAAATTTAATATAAACCCTTTGCACTTTAACAAAGTAAACATGCAAGCGTTGTGCTATTAAATAATAACGCGTTTAATTAAAATGTTTATTGGCCAAAAGAAATTCCAAAACTGTTTTAATTAACCGTTAAGATCTTAATTCGACACAAGCAATTACCTTAACTGCGGTCGAGATTTATTTAATTATCTAACAAGGATGTCATCGTTTAGTTCATTTCAATTGCGTTCGCGTATGATTTGGTGTGAGAAGTGTAGGTACATAAATCAATTATAATACCTAACTTACTACGCCACCTGAATAAATTCGAACACGTGTCCTAACGTCACCATTCAAACCCACGTTTGTTTTACTTAGATAAAACACTGCAGCACAACAAAGCCGTGATATGTAGGTAGCTACGTACAATTGATTAAATTTAAAATTGGTTTTGCATCTAGAAAATATCTAAACAATGATGACAGGGTGTATGCACAATGCGAATTTATTTCATTCATATAATTCCGGTTTCAAGCGATTATTAAAATGTTTATTTCGATGACTTAACTTTGCTGTATATTAAAATTTCCTTTTACATACCCAACTCACTCGGTTTATGTTTTCCAATACCACTGGATTAATCAGAAAATGAAACATCTAACTAAGGTCATGCATTCTTTAGCAGTTCTCACTAAAGCCAATTTATTCGCGACACACAATCCTCTAATAAATTTTAAATTAGTACTGATAGAGTACAGTTATCTAAATTTCAAAGCAGCCCTCGTTATCGCTTTAAGCAATTTAACAAGTTACTCTTGACTGAATCTTTAAGAGATAGGCGTAAACTGGCTAATCGAATTATAAGAAACGTTCTGCCCCTGTTTACTTGTCGACAAAACGAAGTTTTCAACATTAATGCAACCCTGTAAAATAGGAGTATTAAAAGACATTTATACCCATCTGCACTAACGCTCTTCGAAAATTAAGTAAAGTTCGTTGTCAAAACAACATAAAATTTCCCACTTGATTTGAAGTTAATCAATAATCAGACACCACTTCCTTAGTCATAAACATATTCTTCATCAGTACACATTGATTTAATAATTTTTTGTAAAGATAAACATTTTCATCCTCATGTACGTAGGTACGTGATAATTTTTGAAGTCAACTATCCATTATTTCGCGTTATTAGATTCCATTAACGTACAGTTGACGCACTTTGCAATAAAATTAAAATAATAATACCTTAGTAATTATACATCTTTATCGACGTGCACTTAAAAAACACAGTTATCAAGTTGTACGTACAATAAACAGAACGTAATTATTGGTTCGCCAATTTTCTTACCACGCGCCAAAAGATAGTCCTATAATTATAATTTCGTTTTGTGGATATTACGAGCGTAATCTATGTGGCGCAATATTTTGAGATAACAGTTACAACAAATAACTTTATCTTGACACATGATAGATATTATACTGCAAAAGGTACGTCGTCGTACGGCAACAACTGTAAAAATTCCACACAAGCTTCATATTTTAACACTGGATTTACTATTCCTATTTTTCTAAATTTGCTTCTATCACAAACAATCGTTATTCTTACATTTTACTGAAGCGACTAAATTTTCAATCTGTGGAAAGTTTAGCTTTCATAAAATCCCAATAACAATAAGCTCGCAACGGAATATGTATGACAGAAAATGTGAAATTTATATTCGGTTTCATTTGGAATTCAATTTCCATGCAAAAACGACGCGATTAATTAATTTACTTAATGAAAATAATTTTTATGGAAAATTTATATTCTTTTAATTTTTTTACTTCCCGAATGTAGTCTAATAAGGTTACAACGGGGTGCATGCAAAGGTATGTCTGACGTTTCCGTCTGTCTTGTCTGTTGGTGTTGCATATATTTATTAGGCAAAACAATTACTCTAAGATTACTGTGAAATTTCTGATATCGCTATCTCAAAATTTCCTAAATAAATGCACTGAAATGCGGCTTATTAATTCAGCCTCATTTTTAACCATCAGACACATGTTGAATAGCTAATAGGTAATTAATTAAATTAACTAATGGTAGTAGTAATTCTTAATTTTTATTTTGCCTTTTCATTTATAAACTTGGACCAATTTTCATATTTATTTATTAAACATTAAAACACAGTTCCGGTGAATCTCAAAAAAAATGTCGCTTTCCTTATCAAACTGTCGGAACAAATCAGACAGAAAAAGCAGAACTAGGAATGTGTTGCACAAAACATTATTGTTTATGAGATCTCACGTCTTTAATGTCTCTTAACTGATAAATATGTTGTTGTGTGTTGTAAACAGTTACGATGTCCAATTTAGCAAACTAATAGGTTGTTTCTGGGTAAGAAACGAGGCGCCCAAGATATCGTTGAAAAGTAAAAAAAGAAATCCACGACCTCTGCAATCAATATTCTTGGCAAGCAAGATTAAAGGTTATCATCGAACTGAAAAGGCTTAAAAAACCCGTAAGCGTAATAAACAAAGCATATTTCTTATTCTGCCGTAACAGATCCTTAAATTTAAAACAAGTTAAAAAAACGAAACACTGTTCTTGTTAAATATGCGACTACATCGTTTTGAACATGATGCCTCCTCCGATTACGAGTTGGAACAAATTATTTTAATTTTTGTACGAGTTTTTCAGGAGCGGTTAAAAACACTCCCGGCGATATTTTTTCATCAAAATCGTAAGGGCAACGAGCATTCCGTAAAATTTGCATTAAACGAGAATAAAAATGATGAAAATTAAATAGCAAAACGTCAGTGAAATCTCATTAAGTCGAGTTTAAAAATTGGTTCATAATCTTCTTAACAGCGGGTTAATTTAATGAAGTTTCTCAGCTTGCCTGTTTTATTGCCCGGATATTTCGGGCAACATTTGCGTTTCATTAAATCTGAACGAAGACACTCATATCTGGGTAACATCTTCCAGGAACTTAATATGCTTCAAAATGTCGAATAAACAGATTAGAAAAGCTCCGATTTCGTTAGGTAATACAACACCAGCATTGATCAAAACGCCTTATCAGTTCCAACAAGCATTGCAGTCAGATGCAATTGATGTGAAGTTATTTAGACGGACCTTTCCTCGCCCCAACCAATTCTGAATTAGTTATTTAGTAATCTTTCCTTTAATTTCAAATTCATATTCTACGAATTTCGGAAAAACCAAATTGAGATGACTTTATCGACCTTCTAGAGGGAGTGAACAAATAAATTTTAATTTTAATTCGTCGTCTGTAAAATTCATGCATAAGTTTTAAGAGCTCATTCTATAAATGTTATTTTTTACCACAACTCGTATGGGTGAAAATTTTGTGACCGCATAAGCTGAAAATTTCAAGTGAGCTTGTGTTTTTGTTTATTCTGACATCACGCAGAGGCACAGCAAGTGTTGGAGGTAAACCAAACAGTAATGCAAACAGTTTTGCTAACTTTACACAAAAAAATGCCAACATAAGATATGTTAAACGATCAACGTTCATTGTAGTATGTAAGTATTTGATCCTTTATAAAGTTTAGTGATCTAAACCTGTATGTAGACAGTCGGGTGATTTAGCAACTATTTGTCATTGACGTCACGTATTGTTTGCAGGAGACGAAAGCAAAAGGGAAACCGGCATAATTGTGTCCTACGAGTTGTGAAACGTCTAGGAAATCGACAATTCGTCAGGCAGGGCAGGTGTGAAATACAGCACATTGGAAGGTTCTCTTTAACCGCGTCCGCAAGTTGATTCCGCAAGCTGCAAGATGGAGGGCTGGAGCTAGTGCGTCCTTTCACAAAACGTTGTCGAAGCGATAACCAACCGAATTGCATGAACGTTCTCTTTTTCAGCTTTCATCTCCCTAAAGACGTCCTCTCTCTGGCTCGAAAAATTGATCCCTTAACCCGGTCAAAGCAATTTCCGCCCCAGATCGTTCCCAATATTGTATCCAGATCCTTTAGACTAAATATGTTATTTAAAATTTAAACTCTCATAATAATTGACACAATAACCTTTTGTGTTTTCCGATTGGGAACAACACGCGCCCGGCACACGATAGGCGTACTTTAACGCCGCTTTTAACGGTGACTTGGTGCCCTCGGGCAAAAATTCGACTATGACGTCATCGAGGGTGTACTCGTATTGTGTTACCCGCGGTAAACACTGTTTCTAACAGGGTTTCGCTCACGTCGAACACACAGCCTCGAGGCAAACGTCTGAACAACTGTACAAGAAGTATATAGCTATATACACGAAGGCATATACATAATATACGCTGCACTCCCACACACAACTAACTATTGTTTAAAACGCCGCTTCAATCTGTTGAAGATGTTAACTAGTATTAACTTGTCCTTAGATAAACGTTCTCATTTCGAAAGGGACAAAACACAAGAATACTTTCGATGGTCCCTTGTCCGGCTGGCCATCTATTTGCGTATGGTAATCGAGTGCTTAAACCGTGTTTGCTGTGGCCGTTTTCTGAGCGGACCGTAAAAACCCCTTGCAGTCTCACCGAAGGATCTATGGCTTCATTCTCCCCATAATGTATACAAGTTGAAAATTATCATTGGAACACATTACCTGCAACCGGTGACAGTTTCCTCATGACGCACCATCTTGACTTCCACTAAAAAGGAAATTAATCGTCAGCCGATCGTCGTTAAAGCTGACACTGCTGATAAAAACTTCGCTGAGTAATAAATTAACAGTCGATTTTTGAACTGCTAGTTTTTGGAAAAAAAACCTGTTGTAAAAAAATGTCTAATTTAAAAAAATTAATTGTTGTGCTTGCGTGCAGAAATTCTGGCTTCTTCTGAAGTATGACAATAAGTTAAATATAAAATTCTGAAATAAAATTTAGCTGCATTTTTTTTCTGTTTTGGTTGGTGATGACAGAGTTGGTTAATAATTTTTTGATGGAAACTCCTAGTTTTTTATTACATTATTTTATTTATTATTAGAGATTATCTGTCTAATAAAAATGCGGGACGGCAGACAGACGGAAACGGGAGACCTATTTCTTCATCCTCTTGGTGTCATGATAGGTCGAGAAAATGCAAAAGTAGAGAGTCGGCCGACGGACTCGATTACAATACATCCTTTGCTTACGCTCGGGACGTAAAAAACACTGTACTTATGAAGAAATTTACGTGTTTTGTTTATCTAATCAAAAACGATCGATATGTTATTATACTAACCTTTGTACTCTGATAAAAATTTTATTTACGGCAAATTCAGCCAATCAAAATACTTCCATGATTTGTAATCGGCAGTGTAAATATGCATTTAATCAACTAGAACTCGAAAGTGAAATTTACCAATGTTCAGACATCAATGGTTTTTCTTATGTTCTCATTCTTAGAATAGCATTTTGACTTTTTGTGTTTTTATGCGCAGGCAATTTTGATTCTTGTCCAATTTAATAAATTAATAAAAATTGGCAGTTCAATACTGGTTTGTTTCACATTTCAAATTTTCCAGAATATCCCGCAATGTTCAATTTACATAATCAGTTCCATTGTCCGTGGTAAATATTAAATTTTTTCATAATTACATTAACTCAAATAGTTCTATGACGAAGTTTGTCAAAAGTCGTAAAATACATCCAAATATTTAAAGCGCCCAAATCCAGTTCTATAAGAAATGTATCCAGCGGCTAAATTTTTTATAACTCGATCTGTTGACTCTTTCGAGTTACAATAATGCCATAGTTTGCACATACATATACTAGCTGTTACCCGCAGCTCCGCTTGCGTGGTTTTCGCAATTAGGACACATTATTTTTGATCCGCTGATTTATTTTTTGATTTCAATTTTATTACTTTTTAAGTTTGTGCAAGTCTTCATTAATAACAATATATAAAAGTATTTGTCCTTCGGCTGACTGATTCATTAACATAACTACTGGAGCTAGAAACACGAAATTTGGACAGAAGGTTCATTTCATTATGTAAGCATCAATTACCCCTAAGTGGGTGAAATAAGGACTGAAAGTTTGGAGTTAGGGTCCCATGAATTTTGTAATTTGGGTTATCTTTTGTCGATTTGATTAAAAGTCATGTTTTAAATTAAAGGATATTTCTTTAAAAAAGTTAAAATATTTTGATAGTTTTGTCGCTAATATTGTAGGCAGCCATGTAAAAACAGACATTTACCTGACCTATCTAAAACTTGGTTGTAAATTTGATATTGTTCTGTATTTAATAAACTTTCGTTGTGCCTATAAAAGTATGTCATAGCTAATCACTCTGAGATAGTCTCTGTTTTGTATGACTTCTTCACGTTTTACAGGCTGAGGCGAACCATAATACTTTAAACATTGTCTTCCTAAAGACAGCACCGTGTCTTTAAAGGAAATCACACACTTGTACATTTCATTTATAGTATGAACACACACTTGTACATTTCATTTATAGTATGAACACTCTCTTGACACTCTGACTGAACTTGACAAATCCAAAGCTTTGCATGATGAGTGGTATGTGGGATAAGCGACACCATCAATAGTTTTTAAATCCGAGAATGATGTTGGCCCTCTCATTTCTTGAAGAAGAAGACCAAGGTAGAAACATTCGGTGTTATTAGGGTGAACGGTGTACACTCTGCCCAAAGTTTGATCGCTTTTGACTCCCGGCCAACCATCAACATTTTTTCCACGTTTTTGTCTCTCAAATTTGGTACTTTTCCACACATAGTATGAAGGGACTTCAACATAAAAAAGGATTTTTGCAAAATTATTCGTTTTGTAAAGCTCAAAAAATGCTAGAAAAGTAGTTTTCTGTGAATTATTTACCTTTTCAGTTACATTATTAAAGTCGTTAGGATTAAAACAGACAGCAGGCCATTTTTCAAGTGCACTGTGAGATGAAAAACCGCTGGAAATTGTTCATGTATAGGAAAGGGTCAGGATTCTCCAGACAGTTTCAAAGCTGCTAATATATCGACCACTTTCATATAATTTGACCTCATCATTGTTATTTTCAAGACCAAATAATCCTGGTTGGAGTTTGAGAGTTACAATACTCTATGTTGATGTGAGCAGCAAAAGTTCAAGATAAAAGTGGATTGTACGGTACCACCCATCTGTTATATAGGGTTACAACATGGAATTCAATCGTGAATCCACCATACCTCTTCGCCGGTATTGAGGGTAGCTGTCTTCGCCTGTTTGGGTTTCTTTCAGGAGAATTCGAGGATATTTTTTGCTACAGCTACATCATTTCCACCCAAATTATATTCCGTTGGGGATGAATTTCAAAAAAGAATTAAAATCAGTCAGTCAAGACAAACAATTTTACATGATTACCAATTTTCAAGTAACAAATGTTAACAACATTTCAACTAAATATCGCCATACAAATATTTTTTCTCATATAAACTTTGTCACCTCATTTGATCTTCTTAGGGGTAGAATCTCAAAAACAGCTGAAATACGCGTTACATTGTTTGTGTTGAAAAGCATTAATATCAAATTCCAAGCAAAAATTTACAATAGAAATATTTTCCCATACACAATTAGTTACCACTTTTTACCCCCTTAGGGGTTGAATCTCGGAAAATGCTGAAATACGTGTGTCATTATATGTGTTGAAGAGCATTAATACCAAGTTCCACGTGAAAATGTGCAACAGAAGTAGTTTTCCCATACAAACTTATCCACCACTTTTTACCCCCTTAGGGGTTGAATTTCGGAAAATGGTGAAATACGTGTTTCGTTATTTGTGTTGAAAAGCATTAATACCAAGTTTCACGTAAATATTTACAACAGAAATGGTTAGGAAATAGTCTTCTTGTACAAACTTTACCACCGCTTTTCGCCCTTTTAGGGGTGGAATTTCCCAAGTTCCTTTCTTAGTGGGTGTTTACATCACAAAAGGAAACTATTGTCCAAATTTCATGTTTCTAGCTGCAGTAGTTTAGGCTCTGCGTTGATGAATCAGTCAGTCAGGACAAACAATTTTATATGTATAGATTAAAAACTAGTCTCAACATTAAAAGGTAACTTGATAGCTTCATCAAATATCGATTTCTCAATAAAATTAGTTCGTTTGAATTTCTGCTAGCATTAAAATTCTCTCTTCCAAAAATTCGAAACGGTGAAGCTTCATTGGTATAAAAAACTGATCAAACACAATTGAACTCTGCCATAAATTAAACGCGGTCAATGGTTGAGTGTTTCCATTTCGTTTATAATTTTAAATAAGCGATGCGTGGTCAGGGTCGGGCCAAAGTCTCCGTCGACGTTATTTATAATTGTAGTGACAATCGCATTACAATTGTAAAGCAAATTTAAATTTTGAAAAAATTAATGAACAAAAAACACAATACGTATTCGTTTATGTCAACGGTTAATGTTCAACTCTGACCAACTTCCTTTTGAATATATCCCGTAACACGAAACTAGTAGGGAAGATTGCAGACGATTTTTTTCCTTGTTATTTTAGCTGTACTGCGGTTGGAGGAAAGGGCGGTAGTTAGGTTCGCAATAAATTATAAGGGTGGTCGACCGTTTCAAGGCGTTCCTTTCCTGTCACAGGGCTCTGCAGCTCCATGTGTCCCGAAATCTTTCAATAATAGGTCGACATGATGATTCCAAAGCCAGAAAATAAACGGTTATCATGGCATTTTTAAAATGAAAATTTTCTTCACAGAAAAGTGAGAAAAATATCCGGGTCCAGATTCGAACAATGAAAATCCGATTTCTGCGATTGTGCTTTTAGGAAATGTTGACCCTCAAATGGATCGATGGGGGAGTAATTTCGAAATCAACAATGCTGAATAAAATATTAGTAATCTCCATTAAGTACTTTCAGGGAATTCGAGTAGAACGGAAAAGTATCCAAAAACTTTATTCTATACACGTTTTTAACACAAATTAAGAGTGTCTACGTATCAGCTGCGATAAAAACGAAAGCCGAAGCGTCCGAAAATCCTGTGCTTATTTTGCTTATCCTATACATTGCACACAAAAACTTACGCCGAGTGCTTCAATATTCATTCATCGGTTCTCTTTTCTTCAGATTCGGAATTATAAACACCAAGAAATATATAAAGAAATCTCCAATTTAGTGAAAACGGGGTCCTCTCCCCTGCTTCCAGGCTTCAATACTTCTTTCAAATACTTAATGGGTTCGACTTTCCAAAGTTTTTGCATAATATTGAATTTCGTGCGACGACGAGAAAAGGATATTAATTAAATCACCATGTAATTTGCTCGCGAACTTTTTCACGAGATAGTGTATCGTAAATAAGTTAAATTATTCTGATGCTGTGATGAAACATTAAAAATATTAGTGATTTGAAAAAAATAAGAAGAAGCCGAACAATTTTTTTATACAGATAATCTCAGAATTCCGACCGTCGTAAAAATGGTAAAGACGTAACCAAAATGTATCTATCTCCCTTCTAAAAAGATAGTGACGTTATATCTTCGCAAATCTCGTTCTAAATAAGCAACATAATAATTAATACGAGTCGTTTATCCCTAGTTTAACAGTGCCTAACTGTTTCACATTACATAAACGGGTTGTTCTAGAAAATGTATTAGCGTAAACATAACGGCTATTTAGAAATAGTGAGAAAAGGAAATTATTGTAAACGCGATTGTCTTTAAGTTGAAGGGGCAAG